AGAGAGAGAGAGAGAGAGAGAGAGAGAGAGAGAGAGAGAGAGAGAGAGAGAGGAGCGATACAAGATTGGTTGTGCGGTTCAAGGAAGAAGGTGGCAGCCATAGCCGCGGAGCTCGGACACAGAGAGGAAGACGAAGGAGAAGACTAAAAGTGAGCGAGAAGATAAAGTTGGAAGAAAGAAAGAAAGTGAAGGAGGAAAGTGAAGGAGGAAGAAGAGACGAAGGAGGAGAGAGAAGCCATAGCCAATGGTGAAGGTGAAGAGAGAAAGAGGAAGATGAAGGTTGTTGAAGGAGAAGGGGTCGGCAGCCATAGCATAGCTTACTGAAGTTGAGCGGGGTGTTGACCAAGACGTTGACTGAGTTGTTGACCGGCGTTGACTGGCATTGACCGGAGCTGTTGACCACGAATTTGACCAAGCAGGAGTTGCTATAATTTCGCCAAGCCTTCAGCCTATCCCCTCGCCCTATGGATGTGCACTCACCCCATGGTACTTGCTAAGTCTGTTTGTCTCTTCTTTCTGCATTGCGTCTCTTTTGTCCAGGTGATAGGAACTCCCTGTATGTGGTCATAGAGCTGTGTTGACCAAATCCACACTGGCTGAGTAGGGCTGTTGTCAATGTCTGACAACTGACACGTCCCGGAGGACTGACCCTCCCAAGGACCAGTACAGACCGCCGGGCTGCTCAGTGTGGCATGGTTGGCCCAAAATCCGAGTTGTGGGCTGCACAACCGACTGTCTAAGTCTTAAGAGGACTTGCTGATTATGTCGTCCTTGCTGTGACGTTAAAGAATTCCTGAGGAGTTGTGGGGGATCTCCTTAAAAGGCATCCTGATCAGCGGTGAAGTCCTGCAGTGACAGCGGTGCAGGGCATCTGGGTCGAGGATTGTAAAGGACAGTGGTGGCGAAAGCTTCCGTCGGTTGTGGTAACCTGGCTCGAACAAAGGGGAGGACTATGTGGTCCATAGAGAGTCAGTCAGTTAGTTAGTCAGTCAGTGGGTGGAAGTCGTGAGGAGTGGAACTGCCACTTGGTTGTGCATCTTTCACCATGGTGACCACGCGAACAGGTATGAGCACCAAGGCTCAAGAGGAGCAAGCCGCACCCTGTTCAAAGAAAGAAAAGAAAAGGAGGCGAAGAAAGAGTTGATTAAGCATGCCAAGAAGTTGGCCTTATTGGAGGAGCAGGCGGCGAAGAAGAAAAAGTTGGAGGAGATGGAGAGGTTGAAGAAAGAAGAAGAAGAAAAGTTGAAGGCAGTGGGAGAAGAAGAAGAGGAAGTAGATGAAGAAGTCCCCTTGGAAGAAATGCTAAAAGAGAAAGAGGGGAGTCGAGCAGCACGAAGGAAGAAGATCAATGGATGGAGAAGAAGGTTTCAGAGTGGGTCGTCAATCTATCCCTGGGAGAAGAGGAAGAATCAATGTTATATGTCCCCAGGGCAGAACAGGAGGCGGTGATAAGGGAGCTAGAGGCAGGGGAAAACCCCTACGCCGCCAGCCAATGGAAGTAGAGAAGAAGTTGGAATGGAAGTTGTGCCTCACAAGAGAGAAGAGGCGTTGGAGGCGGCATATAGGATGGAAAAGGAGTTGAGGGTGGTAGATAAGCAGAGAAGGCATCTTCAAGGGAAAATGGAAATCATGGCTAGGAACATAGAACTTTTGGCGAAGGCCCGGCAGGAACAATATCAATTCATGAGGGGCCAGGATATAGCCTTACAATCCATACGCCTAGGTTGTAGAGAGTTTGCACGAGAGATGAAGGCGAGGATAAAAAATACTGAGCACTTCTGCACAGGCGCCATAGAAGGCGCGAAGCTTGCTGCTCCAAAGGAGGAGGAAGCCCGTCCCCGTAGAGAGCGAGTGAAAGTGAAGTTCCCTGACTCCTACAGTGGGAAGAAAGGGGAGAACTTCGACAGTTGGGAGGCGAACGTTAATTCTTACACTCACCTCCAAAAGATCTTGCATGAGGAGCAAGTCCTCACTGCCTTCCATGCCCTCAAAGATGAGGCATCTAGCTTCGCTAGGTCCCTTGCCCAAGCTGCTAAATGCGAAAATGATATGGTACCATATTCCATCATCAGCCCCCCTGACCAATTTTTTTAAAGTTGCTTGGCGAAAGATTCGCAGATGCCACTCGGGGCCTTAGGGCCTCTGACAAGCTGCAAACTATCCACTCTCGCCAGTGGAAGTGTGCCAGGGCACTCAAGGGAGTTATGGACAAACTGGTTGCCGTCCCTGGGCATGGGGTCACTGAGACCCAATTAGTTCAATTATTCTTCTGTGCCATACCCAATGCTTTGCACGAGCACTTCTTCAAGATGAGTAAACGGCCCACCATGACCTACGATACATTGAGTAGGGAGGTGGTGACTTTTGAAGCCCAGTCCATGCCAGCATCCACTTTCTGGCATAAAGATTTGGACAAGGGGCAGAAGTGGAAAGGTCGTACCATCTTTGGCCAAGTGAGGGCCAAGGATCATCTGATCGTTACGTTAGATGAGGGTGGTATGGAAGAGGTCCCCTACAATCAGATCGAGTGGGGCTGAGAGGAAGAAGACAATAGCACTAGTCATGGGAGGACTTATGCTGATGTCACGGTCGAAGGGAGGCCGCAAGGAAGAGGGAGAGGCCGGGGCCAAGGGGGTCGGGCCTCTAGTGGTCGGGGACAGAGCGATCAGAGGGTTGTCGATAGGGAAAATCGCCAAGAGGGAGGCAGGGGTCAAGGTCCCCCGCAAAACCCTCCTCGTTCTTATCGATCACCTCCCAGGAGGGGTGAATGGCACCCTGGCCTGCCGCAAGGAAGGCCTGGGAAGCGTTGGGCTTAGAGCAGACTATATGGCAGAGGCGAATAGACGTGGATCAGTGCATTTTTTGCGGTGATCCGGGGCACATTATCAAGTATTGCCCCAAGTACAGAGATGCTTGACGAGGTGCTGCAGAGGCAGCAAAAGGCAACCGCTGGTAGGGGTTGCAACTGCCCTTACCCCTAGACCATGTGGAGAAGAGTGCGCGCACCACAAAGAAACTCCCAAACCAGATGTGTCTATGGCAGAGGTTGCTGGCCAGTGCCTAGGTAGCTGTCCAGAGACTGCTTGCGTTAGAGTCTCTCTAGGCACTTCCCTCACAGGTCTTGCAGAAAAGTTGAAGGAGAGGATGCCAACCTGGGCCAAGATGAGAAAGGATGGAAAGGGACAACTAGTGTCGTAGACGTAGAGGTTTTTAGAGGCTGAGTAGGAGCCCTTATAGACAGTGGGGCCACCCGAAGCTATATTAGTCGTAAAGCGATGCAAAAGCTAAAGTTGAATTTGAAAGTCCAAAAGTTAGAAGAACCCATAGTCAGTATCCTCGCAGATAATTGCACTATGCGAATCGAGGATTACGTCGAGGGATCCAGACATATTTCCGCCTAGAGAAAGATGGGAAGGTAGAGAGAGTTCTTCATTCTCTAACTCTTCTCGTAGAGGACAATCTCCCATTCCATATGGTCCTAGGAATCGACTGGGGAGAGGCAGCAGAAGCCACACTCCATTTGAGAGAGCACGAGTGTAGGCTCCCTAGCCCATCAGGTGAAGTTAAGACTGATCGCCTGTTTCATGTGTCAAGGGTAGGCAACTCCTTAACACATTGTTGCGTCAGCGCTTCTGCATTCGTGAGGTTAGTGAAGAAGGAGCAGCTAAGAACAGGTCTTTGTAGCCTATGTTAGGCTAGTTACTGAGCCTAAACAGGAAGAGTCGATCGACCCTCGCATTTCCAAGTTGCTGGAAGAGTGCGCATACTTGTCTGAGCCGCCTACTGGAGTAGTGCAATGGCCAATCCAGCATCGCATTGAGATAGAGCCTGGCAATAGGACTCCTAAGGGAGCTGTGTATAAAATTTTCCCCAGGGAGTTGGAGGAGTTGTGCAAGCAGTTAGACGAGCTCCTCGAGAAGGGTTGTATTAGGCCCAGTTCATCTCCATTTGGAGTGCCTGTCCTGTTCGTTCTCAAGAAGGAGGGAGAGTTACGAATGTGAATTGACTACAGGGGTGTTAACGCCATCACAATGAAGAATGCAGAACCACTGCCCGGGATAGATGATATGTTGGATCGGGGGCAGGGCTGCAAGTATTTCTCCAAAATAGACTTGACGTCAGACAATCATTAGATAGAGGTTCATCCGGATGATCAGTATAAGACGGGGTTCAAGACCAGATATGGGCACAACGAGTTTATAATGAGGCCCTTTGGACTAACCAACGCACCGACCACATTTCAGCATTGCATGAACGATTTTTTTAGGTCGTGGTTAGATAGATTTGTGATTGTGTACCTAGATGATATTCTAGTGTTTAGCAAGACCCTCCAGGAGCGCAAGGCTCATCTGAGGCAGGTCTTGGAGAAGCTGAGAGAAGCTAACTTCACGATCAACGCAAAGAAGTGTGAGTGGGCCAAGGGACAGGTATTATATTTGGGCCATGTTTTAGATGGAGATGGCATAAAGCCTGAGGACAGCAAGATAGCAACGATTAGAGACTGGGCGACTCCCCGCACATTGACAGAGTTGCGGTCGTTCCTAGGGTTGGCAAATTACTATAGGAAGTTCGTGAGGAACTTCTCTGCCATCGCTGCCCCCCTTCGCAGGTTGCTAAAAAAAGAAGCGATCTGGAAGTGGGACCAAGATTGTACATCGGCCCTAAAGAAATTGAAGAGGGCCTTGATATAGTACCAAGTCCTCAAAGTAGCTGATCCATCCTTGCCCTTTGTTGTCACTATTGATGCCAGTCGGTATGGTATAGGTGTTGTTCTACAACAAAATGATGGCAATGGGTATAGACCCGTAGAGTTCATGTCTGCTAGGATGCCTTCAAAGAAGGTAGCGACATCTACCTATGAGAGCGAACTCCACGCTCTCAGGCAAGCGCTAGACCATTGGAAGCATTACTTGCTTGGGAGCCACTTCAAAGTCTACTCAGACCACGAGACATTGAGGTGGCTGAAGACCCAGGCCAAGATGACACCTAAGCTTACTAAGTGGGCCGCAAAGATAGATCAGTTTGACTTTGAGCTCAAGCCTGTCAAAGGAAAATACAATGTAGTTGCGGACGCCGTAAGTAGGAGGGCCGATTACTTTGGAGTGATAGTACACTATCTGGACATAGGGAGAGCAACAGAAAGTCAAAGAGGCGTATGTGCAGGACCCTATGTATAGCGACCTCCTCAAGAAAGTTAAGGAGTCCCCAAAATCTGAACCGGATTACCGCACTACAGATGGGTTGTTATTCGAGAAGACTAGCGTAGTTGATCGACTATGCGTTCCCAACAGTGAGGAGATCCGTAGTTTGATCCTAGGGGAATGCCACGACAGAGAGGGACATTTCGGTTGGCAAAAGACATTAGCCAACCTCGTTCGCATGTATACATGGTCTGACATGAAGGCTGATTGCATAAAGTACGTACGCAGTTGTAAAGTATGCTAAGGGAATAAGACCACTACGCGAGCCCCTCTTGGTCTTCTCAGACCCTTGCTTATTCCCGCAGGACCCGGAGATTCTGTATCCATCGATTTCATGGATGCTGGGGTCAAGAGTAGGCATGGCAAGAGCGAAGTCGTGATTATAGTTGATAGGTTTAGTAAGTATGGAGTTTTTGTTCCTTTGTCTTCAGAGGCATGCACATATTTAGTAGTAGAGAAGTTCTTTGATCATTGGGTCAGTGATCATGGTATACCGTTGTTGATAGTTAATGGCAAAGATAAGAGGTTCACCAGTCATAACCGGCAGGAACTGATGAGAGTCTACGACTCTAAGTTGTTGATGTCATCTGACCGCCATCCAGAGACTAACGGTCAGACCGAACAGATGAACAAGATCCGGCAACAAGTTCTCAAAATGTACTCCCAACAAACTGCAAGTCCTCTAGACGGCGTAGAACGCTTGAGAGACTGAACCAGGATCAGATCCAGAGGCTACCGCCCGGTACTAGGGAGTTTGCACTACAACACGAGAAAAAGATTGCTACCGTAATAGAGAACCTCAGGAAGGCCCAACATAAGATGATAGAACAAGCCAACAAGCACCGTCGCCCGTCACAGTTCTAGGTAGGCGACCTAGTCTGGGTCAAGTCCAAAGAATTCGCTCCTAAGGAAAACATCTCACAGAAGTTGTTAGCTGCGTATAGAGGAACGTTGCCAGTCCTAGAAGTCAAGGGCGGAGAAGATGGCTTGTCCTACACGATAGAGATTCCAGCACACCTCCACACCTACCTAGTTTTCCATGCATCAAAGTTGTTGCCTTGTACTACGAGTCAACAATTCCCATCTAGGAGGTCTATGATCCCTCTGGATATGGACGGAAGATACGACATTGATCGCATTGTAGGTGAGGATGTATTCAGAACAGGAGGTAGAGGTCGTCCACAGAAACAATACAAAGTCAGATTTTCCTATCAAGAACCGTAGACGACCGCAGGTTTACTCGAACAGAGCTGCTAGAGACTGCTGCCGATGTAATCCGTGCCTATGAAAGAGCTAAGAAGGGTAAAGATCCTGTTATAGATTGACATATTCTCGGAGGACCTCGAATTTAGGCTTGTGGGAGTGAAACGGTTTTCACCTTCATGGTAGCAGATGCAGATCCCAGGGCTTGATCCCTAGACCTGCCCCGAACCCGTGTACAATATAGTTTGCCCCATCTAGGTTTGAACCCGTGAGCTGCCCCTAAAGTTGTCTGTTTTAGGTTGTTGTACATACGAGGGTTGAGTAGGTTCCAACTGCTTACTTGTAGGGTAGGAGTCGTAGCTTATGTCTGGTC